GCAATTTGTGAGATATTTTTTATTATCATATCGCTTATTTAATAAATTCCAGGACTCTAAATAATTAGCAGCTGTTACAGGAATATGTCTCAAAAGTTGTTCTGCCTCACCTATTAAATGCGCCTTAAGATAATGCATCTTTTGAATATTCTCAATGGATGCATTTTTATGTATAAGTGTTATAAATAAATCCCTAAACGTTGTCCACTCGGCATACTTTCCGCTGAAAGTCGGAATAGAAATTTTTGGAAGTTTAACGTTTGTACATTCTACACCCTTTTCAAAGTTAGGTTTTTCAGTTATATGAACAGATTGTAACTTAGCAAGGTCATCTCTTAACACAGTTTTAGTTTCTATATATGCATTTTCTGTTTCATCATAAATATTATTTTTAAAGTAATTACTATCAAACAATTCCTTTTCCCCACATTTTTCAATAAGACGAGCATGTGTTTCAAGAAACTGCGTCCATTGTGCATCTAAATTTTCTATACGAATTGCAATATATGTTGCATTAATTCTTTCTTTCGGAGACTTATTGTAATTAATTAAAGTTTTTTTTAGTCTACTCTGAATGTCTATTTGAATTTTAATAAAATTTTCCATTTTAAATTATAAACGACTGAGACTTAGAAGCAAAACTATTAAAGTTCAAGAGAAGACAAATATAAATTCAAATTATTATACACTAGCGAACTACTAGGTATATAAAGAAATTATTCTGCTTACAAATTGAAATCTTAGGCAGTTCAAAACAAATTTACAAGTGAATTGGCATGTACAACAAATCGTATATGTTTACCTATCTTATAATTTATTCTGTCCGAATTAATATAACAGAAAATTTTACAAGTTCCAAACAACACATAAAATTTTTTGTGTTAAGTGTTTGAGAAATAACACATTTAGGCAAAATCTGGCATAGGTTCCCCGTATAATCACTTTCTTCAGAATTATTCTAAGTCCCTATCAATTGAACATTAAATTTTTAACAAGTTTAAATCTACTAAACTAACTAACAGGCAACACTTTATTACTGTCCACACTATTCTGCAACATAAACAATATAGAGTACTCACGGTTTTGCTTCACATCACTTATACACACCAAACCACCTTGTGACGTATTATCTCCAATAATGTATTGCTCCAACTTCACTCTTCAAATCTTCAACCGGACCAATACTGACTGACAGATGACATTTGCTGCTGTCACTGTCACCTTTTTCGTCGGTTGACTTAACCGCCTTTCACCACAGCGTGGTTGGTACTACGCCAACTTTCCCTCGTCCAATGAAGTAGGATATACACTCCCACCTCACTGGGAAGCACTTCAGTGACGGTCCGCCACTGCTTTCTGTGCTTGATTCAAAAAAAACTCCGGAAGGCGCAGTAATTCACAGTTGCCACTTTCTAAATATCCGCGCTCGTTGGACCTTAATGTTCGTTTTCTCACGAACTTTACTCTTATTTCAAAGGTACGTAATTGAAACCACCAATGCGTTGGAGACACAAAATGAGTAAATTTATTAATAAATCGCTGCAGCTTATATTATTACAAATAATCTCAACATCGTGATTCAGTTATTTAATATTTTAGTACAACGACATCTAGTGACAACTTAAATAGCTAAACAACTATCGTAATCTATATATCATATGCTAACTAAATGTCATATTTACAACTCTTTTAGAACACAAAAATATTCTCATTATTTTTAGTATAAACTTTTGCGCAGTTAATTAAATTTCCAGAAAGTTCTACGATATGACGCGCTGTGATTGGTCGATTTTTTTTTAAGCGATTAAAGTTGTTTATATCAACTATTATTAAAACGACATTCTATACAAATATATTAAGAGTTGTAAACACACTGTAAAACTATATTAACAAACTATTTACTCGATTTTCATTGGTAATTTCACTTTTTATACAAAACAATATTCTTTCATCACTTTGTTTCTTAAAGTCTTTAAACCGTCGCGAACATCTCTCCCGCCGTGCAGCGTCGCGAAGATCTTATCGTAGTGGCGCTGCATCCATTTCGTTGAGCGACGTTGTTTCTATTTCGGCAGCGGCACGAGTTTCCTGGTTGGCCTCTTGATTAGGCCGTTTGCGGTGCGTACCTCCACAGTGCGGATCTGTCCGTCCGCACCGGGGAAAATTGTTTCAATCCTTTCTCGAGGCCAGGTGTTACGAGGTAACTGGCCGTCAGCTATGAGGACTGGATCGCCCACCTGGAGATTGGGGCCTCGACCATGGGCCTCCCGCCGGTTTTGAAGTTCCGGTAGATATTCTCTGACCCAACGCTGCCAGAACATATCAGCGAGTATATGGGAGCGTCGCCAGTGCCTTTTGCTCTCTATATCTTTTTCATCAAATACTCCAGGCGTCGGCAGTCTCGCACATCCTCCCAAGAGGAAGTGATTTGGAGTGATGGATTCGTTGTCGTTGCTGTCTACAGAGATGCGAGTCAATGGTCTGCTATTTACTGTATACTCCACCTCGCAGAGCAGCGTGGTTAAGACTTCTTCGTGTGGCTGTCTTTCATGAAGGACGGTGTATAGTGCCGTCTTCACGCATCGTATGAGACGTTCCCATACCCTTCCCATGAAAGGTGCGGAGGGGGTTATAAAACGCCACACTATGCCTCGTCGGTTGGCTTATTCTCGAAAAGCCTCCCGAAGTTCCTTGTCTGCGCCGTGCATGTTGGTGCCATTGTCGGAGTAAATTTCGCTAGGGCACCCTCGGCGTGCCGCAAATCTTCTCAGTGCCAGTATGGCGGAGTCTGCGCTGAGATTTGCGACAACTTCTAAGTGGACAGCTCTGGATGTGAGGCAGATGAAGAGAGCCACGTATCTCTTCTGGTGTTGACGTCCCACTGTGACGGAGAGTGGCCCAAAATAGTCCAGACCGGTGAAGGTGAACGGTCTCTGGTGATGAACGAGACGTGTACTGGGATGATCACCGGTGGCTGGCACGGATGGTTGCGCCTTTCTGATGCGACAGTGTACGCATTGACTCACTATTATTTTCGTGGTGGGTCTAAGTCGGATTACCCAATAGTGCTGTCGAACCTCGTTGATGGTAGGTTCGGTTCCACAATGATGCAGGCTACGATGCGTCCAATCGATGTATAATTGCGTGATGTAATGATCACCATCCAATATAGCTGGCCCTTTCATGTCTTCCGAGACTCCCTTCACGGCGGCTATGCGACTTCGTAGAGCGATGATCCCGTCTTTTAATTCTATTTGGAGCGGTCGTAGGCGGCTATCATGGGCGGCCTTTTTATCTTTATGGAGATCGGCTATCTCTCGTTTGAAGGAGTCCTCTTGGATGACATGTGTTAGGAGCTTTTCGGCCTCTCTGATGTATTCGGCCTCGAGTGTGATGTATTTATTTGCATCTCTATTTTTCACTCGACTGGGAGGCTGCGCGAGGTGTCGCGGATTATTTTTCGATTTCCTCCAGTCGGGATCTTCCTCTTTACTCCTTTTGGTCCTTTTGTAAAAGGTCCTGTCCGTTGTTTTGCGGCAGAGTGTAATAAACTGAAGCACTCTGGCCGTAGCTCGCAATAAGCGTTCCCATTTTGAAAACTTTACTGGATCGGGAATGGCTTCTCTGAATAGCGGAGCTTTATGCGATTCTGTAATGGTGAAGGATCTTTCCTCACCGGTCGGTTCGGATGACGTGGGTTTTTCGGTCGGCCATGACGACGGTTCTTTGTAAAGAAACGATGGGCCGTTGTGCCACTCGTCATTTGAGTCGAAGTTCGGTGGTACGTCCCTCGTAGCGGTGTCAGCTATGTTTAATTTGGTAGGTACCAAGCGCCAGTCATCCACTTTACTATGATCATTTATGGTTTCCTCGCTCGTGTGCAGCTCATTGGCCGCGTGGACGCGCTGATACGGGGCTTTAGTGTGTGCCCCGTGTAGCACCCATCCTATTTCTGTGAGCGAGGCGATTGGTTGGTGCGGCGGACCTCTGCGGATTTGAGTGGCTATCAGAAGTCTCCAATTGTCTTATCCTATTAGGATCCTTGGGTTGCCGGAGTCATATATTAGTTGCTCCTTCAGGTCTTTTAAGTGTTTGCAATTTGCTATATCTTCTGCACACACTATCTGTGGCCCCAAGTTTAGGCTGGCGACCGTGCGTGCTCTGAATGGCATCCTTTTTCTGTGGAGACTCTTCAGCGAAACTTTGACTTTTCGGGAGTCCGGTGAATCGAGGGTAGTGTTCCCGATAGCGGTGATCTTAAATGGGTCCAACCGCCCTGTAGCTCCGATTAGTTTGGCTATCTCTTCATCCATTAATGAGACTGTTGACCCATCATCCAGCAGGTCGTGTGTGTTTACAGCTCCCGCCGGTCCAATTACTCGAACTGGAATTATTTTTAGGTAGGCGTGATGCTTTGACACAGCGAACGAGTTAGCTACGGTTTCTTGAGGTTCTTTTTGTGTGACCTCTGTCTTCTCCTTTTTATTATTGTGGAGAAGTCGATTATGTGTCGCGATGCATCCTTTTATGCCACACTTAGTGATTTTGCATTTGTGTGTTTGATTTCTGTAGCGTAAACAGCGGAAACATAAATTACTTTATTTTGCAATTTCCCATTTTTTATCGACATCTGCTTCTTTAAATTTATTACAGTCGGATACGTAATGACCCTCTTTTTCGCATGCTCTGCATTTCGGAGACGGCTTAGTGGTAGCCGCGTGCGTTCTGCGTACTGAACGATTGTTCTGCGCTCCGTTTATAATTTCAGGAGGCGCAAATGCACTGCAGAAGCGAGCTTGTTCGGTGATAAACTCGGTGAAGGAACCGAGGTCTGGTCTAGAGTCGTATTTTTCGGTGTAGATTCTATACCACTGTGCACGTGTAGAGTTTGGCAATTTGTCGGTGAGGTGTCGTAGCAGCTCTGCGTTGACGAGGTAATGATCTCGTTTGAGTGCTCGAAGAGTGACGACGCTTCCCCTCACTTTGCTCGCGAATGTGCAGATGTCTCTAGGTGCTTCTGTACAGCGTGGTAATCCTCGTAATTTCTCGGTTTCGGCTTGTGCAATTGAATCTGGACGCCCAAATTGTAGCTCCAGTTCTCGCATAATTTCATCTGGCTTAGCATGCCCGATGAGTTCTGAGCTGACTGTTTCCAAGGCTCTTCCTTGTAGACTTCTTCGTAGTCTTGCAGTATTTTCGATATCATTGAAGTAGCCTCGGGTTGTCTCGTAAATGGCACGGAACGAAAGCCATTCGGTATGTGCTCCGCTAAAGCTTGGCAGTGTCATTATAGCTTTCGACGCTGCGAAAGTATGCGACGATAGTGATGCATTCTCTGATTTTGGTTTGTCAGCGAGTGCGGCTATAGCGGATGTGAGCTCCGATATAAATGGTCGGAGCCCCCCGTCTTCATTAATGACAGGTGCCTGGTTGGGCTTCTTTGGCATGGGATTCTTGGTTACATCTTCCGGATAGGGATCCTGGTAGGTGAGCTCTGATACAATTGGTAGGAGCTCCTTGTCTTCATCAATCTTGGAGTCCTGGCTAATCTTCTGTGGCATAGGATTCTTGGGTACATCTTCCGGATAGGGATCCTGGTAGGTGAGCTCTGATACAATTGGTAGGAGCCCCCTGTCTTCATCAACCTTCGAATCCTGGTTTGTGAGCTTCTTCTGCGGCTCACTGAGGTCGACAACCTCCGGGGGTAGCTTTGTGACGGTTTTATTAAGTGGAGCCTCCCCTCCGGTGGTTGCGCCTTGAGTTGGCTTTTGCTTGGCTACAGAATTTTCGAGCCAAGTTCGGACGTACTCACTTTTGGAGTCACCATCTTAATCATAGTCGTCCGATTCATCTTCTTCTTCAGCCATCTGTAAGGAAATCTGTGCCTTCAAAACTTTTCTATTGGGCCGAATAGTCTTCTTTGACTTCGTACTTCTATCGGTGTGGCCCCTCGGTGGCTCTTCGGCGCGGGAGTTTTCCCGGGCTGTTGGCGGTGATGCACAGCGAATGTCATCATTGCCTTCTATTTGTTCCCTCTGCTTCAGTGTCCCGTTTGCAGTGATCGGAACGGGCAGGAGTAACCCCCCTTCGCGGGGGCAAGATGGCGCCTCAGCGCCTTCTGTTGTCGACGGTGAGCATGGTGGCATCTAGTGGCGGACGCCGTCGGTATTGTCCGACGGGCCTCCTTCCAGACAGACGGTCCACGCGATGGCTCCCCTTCCTTGCGAACGAGTGATCGGCATCTTGATTCTGAAAATTCAGCAGCTTTAATACGGTAGTGAATATGTATGCGGTTCCGAAATACAAACGGATGGATCCGGCTCGAAGGACCAGCGAATGTGCCGGACGGGCGTAACTCTCCGGAGTAAATGTTGTCGAAGATACTCCGCGAGTCGCTCACGTCCTTCACCTATAGGTTCCGGAGGATACTTTCACTGCCGTCTCTGTGGGTGCTGCTGGAAAACTGTGGACTGAGGTTCAAAATTAAAATGCACGATTTATAAATTAAAATAGCAAGGGAGTGGCCAGCGGTTCGACTGAGTGATTAGTCGCAAAATTTTATAACTATTATTTATTGACCACGGTTGTTGAACACGGTTGTTCAACTACGGTTGTTCACTATTGGTTGGTCACTATATATTTTAACAGATTTAATTAAAATGCCAGGTAGTATTAAAATTTCTATTGGTATTAAAATATCTATTGGTAGTATCAAAATATCTATTGGTAGTATCAAAATATCTATTGGTAGTATCAAAATATCTATTGGTAGTAGCTGATTTTCTAACACTACTGACTAGCAGCTATTAATCAACTAAAACTAGTTGATTTTATCACTTGTGTAACTGCGAATATCAGTTACCACTTTTTCCGTCTAGCTAACACTTTTCACTATATGTAACTGCGAATTTTCAGTTGCCACTTTTTTCGGCTATGTGTAACTGCGATTTTCAGTTTCCGACCTTTTTCGGCTAGCTAAACTTTTTCTAATTCACTATTACTGTTCACTATGTTCTGCTACTAGTCACTTCAGCTACTACCGGATACTACTGCTTGTCACTGGTAGTTCTTCCTACTACAACGTTACTGGGATTCGCCCCCATAAGGTAGACTTCGGCTATACTGTATAGTGAGCCGCTTGTCATTTTCCGTTTTGTCTCTTTATTTTAAAACATTTTCACTATGTAATTAGCATAAATTGCAATATTTTGTATATAAGGTTAAATCTTACACTAATATGCTAAACATCAATAAATCGGCATTTTGGTCCTTTATCAGTATATGATAAAGGTTATTCAATACATTAATATTTAAAAAAGTTATTAAACGAAATGTCCCAAATTTTCATAACAAATGGGTACATTAATTCTTTAATTTTTCTATAACTACCAAATGCGTTTAATTATACAAATTATTTCTTTACTATCGTAATCTATATATAATATGCTAACGAAATGTCATATTTACAACTCTTTTAGAACACAAAAATATTCTCATTATTTTTAGTAAACTATTGCGCAGTTAATTAAATTTCCAGAAAGTTCTACGATATGACGCGCTGTGATTGGTCGATTTTTTTTAAACGATTAAAGTTGTTTATATCAACTATTATTAAAACGACATTCTATACAAATATATTAAGATTTGTAAACACACTGTAAAACTATATTAACAAACTATTTGCTCGATTTTCGTTGGTAATTTCACTTTTTATACAAAACAATATTCTTTCATCACTTTGTTTCTTAAAGTCATTAAGCCGTCGCGAACAGATATAATAGCACCTTATCTAGCCACTATATTTAATACAAGAGTCGAATCTGATGTGTTTCCTGATTTAATGAAACATAGTAAAGTCATACCTTTATTTAAATCTGGTAGTACATTAGACCCCGCCAATTTTAGACCAATTTCTCTACTACCAACATTTAGTAAAATTTTTGAAAAAATAATTTTAGATCAGATGTTAAGTTTCTTTAATATTAATAAATTGCTACATAGAAATCAATTCGGTTTTACAAGGGGTCGCTCGACAACTGACGCAGGAGTTGAGCTTGTAGCGGGTGGAAGGAAAAGGGGAGATCTCCCGCCGGGCAAGGTGTTCTGCCCGGGGAGCGGCCAACGCTCCGATTGGTAGTTCGGAGCTATTCTATATATGCTGCTTTAATTTCGGAACTTTGATAGCGCGATTTAGGCTTCGATGTGTTTCGCTTTTGGCGCGACGACAGCGCCGCCACATCACCCCCCTGCTCAGACTGGAGGTCGATAGTGCAGTCCGATTGCCGGTGCGTCCTTAATGCCGGTGGGGAATGCATGCTGTGTGCGTAAGGGCAAGTGACGCCGGTGCGAATGATATGCCGGTGTGTAATGCATGCCGTACTACGCACTTGCAAGTGATGCCGGTGAGAACGATGAGCCGGAGCAAGTGCCAGGGATTGCCTTGTAGTCTGCGGTGAGTCGAGAAGAAGGCAAGTAATCTGTGAGAGTGCCGTGAAGCAGAGGCGAGCAGTATGGCTCAGAGCCGTGCCGAACACTGTAGCGCAGAGAGTAGCTTGAAGGAACAGGAAGCATTATTATTCCAGTGCTGCGATGAACCTTTTGTAAAGCTAGATGGCTTGCAGAATGTGAAGACTGCAGACAATATTTGATCGGGAGCGAATGAATGGGGTACTTGAGGAAGATGACGAAGGTTTTGGGGTTGTAGTTTCCGAAGGTTTTTGGTTGCGTGTTCATATCACGTCGGTTGGTCACCAATGTAGCTGGTGGAAGGAAAAGGGGACATCTCCCGCCGGGCTAGGTGTTCTGCCCGGGGAGCGGCCAACGCTCCGATTGGTAGTTCGGAGCTATTCTATATATGCTGCTTTAATTTCGGAACTTTGATAGCGCGATTTAGGCTTCGATGTGTTTCGCTTGTGGCGCGACGACAGCGCCGCCACAAGCTTATTAAACATATTTTTTGTACATAGGAGAATTCAGAGGATGCTTTGGGTATATTTTGTGACCTTTCCAAGGCATTCGACTGCGTTCACCATGAGACATTAATCAGGAAGCTACAGTATTATGGTGTCAAGAACACAGCGCTTACACCCGTATTCAAGAACCACCCTTATTTAAGTGTACTGGCTCTCACTGCGAAGTGTCCGATTTCTCACAGTGTTGGATATGTCCATCGACTTGTTTCATAGACAACACTTAAGTATTTCTTTACTCAGTGAATGCATAGGGAAGGATTCGGCGTTTTGATTGGTCGGTTTCGGGGCTAGCTTCAAGTTATTCAATTTTCAAGCGTCAAATGTCAATTAGTACATAACCTCAATTAATGTGTTGATTTTTGCAAACTGGCTTGTGTTAGATACGATACGCTATTTGAAGTAAAATTTAGCTTAAATACCAAGTAGAATTTTTGTGATAATGGAAATAATATCTCCGGCTAACAGTGCTAAATGGTAACTCAAATATTTTTCCTCAGTAATGTTTATTTTGTGTGTTTTTTGATAATTCATTCAACATACATTATTTTAATTTTTAGCTCAAAAAAAATAGCTTTTTCCTCCGCCGAAAAAGAACTAATCATAAGTTTGGTAAGTGAACGTCCCATTATTGAAAACAAACAGACAAATGCCCGAAACATTGAGCTCAAGAGGGCGGCATGGGACGAAATTGAAAATGCCTACAATGCAGTACCTTTTGTGGTCAAGAGAACGGCATTACAGCTAAAGAGATGCTGGGAAAACATAAAAAGTTGTCGTAAGAAGGAGCTGTCAATGGAAGTCGGCAGTTTATTACAGACTGGAGGTGGAGTTGGTGAAGCGGGCACTACAGAAAACGTCATAGACAGTATTTGCCCATACATAAATCTGACTGTACCTGGAGTCATTGACTCAAACACAGAAGAGAAAGTCCTAGGTAAAAGATTTGTTACATAATTATCATAATTAAGGATGAAGCTTTATTTCTTGTTTTGTTTACATCACTACTCTATACAAAGCTTGCATTTTACTTACTATTAAACAGCAGAGACAAAGTTATATTGTAAATTAGAAATGGAATTTTTTGAAATTTAAGCAACATTATTGTTATTGTTCACAGTAAAGCTGAGTTCTGTGGAAATACATGCTCCAGAGAAAATAGATAAAGAAAACCAACATGGTAATATAGTTCTGTAGTATTGTCAAAATGTTACTTAAAATAAACATTGAATAGAATGCACAAAAAGATAAACTATATCTGGATATTATTTCAAATATCTTATTTTGTGTACATGCTACTTTATTTTGGGTATTTACTTTTCCTTTTTTGCAGATAATGAGGTCATAGAAAGTTTAAAATTAAGCAAGAGGAAAAGAGGATTATTTCCTTTAAAAACATTAACAGGTACAGGAACAAGTATAATATGTATTTTTTTATGTACAGACGGAGATATGAAGTAGGCAAATATAAATTCATTGTTCAAGGGAGCTTTTAGCTTTCCATTACATACACTATCTACTTACAAGTGTACATAATTTGATGTAATTGACCTATGTAATGATAACAGCCAGACACACTTGCTTATAATGTAATATTAGAATTGATTTTAATGTATTAATAATTATGCCCATTAGTAAGTCTTTAATTACTACCAGCTACTACTACTTCAAAACACTCATCTCAATAATACATGTTGTAGATTTATACTTATTTTATTTCAGATAACAATGGTAAGCTCTCCAGTGAAGTCCAAGTGCGGGTAAAGCGGTGCAAGGAGAATATAGAGCAGGATTCAGAATTACATAAATTGAGAGTCCAGAGGGAAAAAATATTGATAAAAAAAGAAGAAATATTATTGGAAAAAGAGTCACAGCAAGCCACATTTCAAATAGAAAAAAACAATTTAGAAATCAAGAAACTTAAGTTAGAAATAGCATTATTGGAAAAAAAATTAAATTAATTTATTCAAAGTCCCTGTAAAAATTGTTTTATTTACATGAAATTAATAAATATAACTACCAGAAATACATTTCAAAAATGTCGTTCAATAAACATTCTCCTAAAAACTAATCCCTGTCTATTGGATGGATTGGCATTCCTTCTGTCAATTCTTCTTATAACCGGTGGTTCTATATTCTCCTCAATTTCATTATGCAAACGACAAATATTATACAAAATGGCTGTGGCTACTACTACATGGCATGTTGTTGTCAGATTTGTCGCTAGTTTTTTTGACAAACATGGGAAAATTCTTTTCCAAACACCTATAGTTCTCTCAACAGTATTTCTGGTCTTAATGTGAGCTTTATTATAATTTTGTTCAGCATCTGATTCTGGCCGTAGAACTGGTGTCAGTAAATATGTTTGGCAACCATAACCACTGTCACCTAAAAGCAAGCCATCAATTTCTCCTCCTTCCAGCTTTGCTTTTAATGTACTTGCTTGAAATATACGATTATCATGAACTGAACCTGGTCTGTCAGCTACAATGTCATATATTTCTAATTCAGGGCCGCACACAAGTTGTGTATTTATGGAGAAAAATTTTTTCCTGTTACGGAAAACTTCAGCAAAATTTCCTCCAGGGTTTTGGATAGCAACATGTGTGCAATCTATGCATCCTCTTACTCCAGGAAACTGCGCAATCTGGTAAAATTTTAGTTTTGTATATTCACTGTTTTCTGGGAATTTTATGTACCGTTTTATTTGCAAACTAATCAAATAGGACACTCTTTTGACGATTCTTGAAACGGTTGGTTGGCTAACACTAATAAGGTCGCCGCTGATAATTTGAAAACTGGCTGAGGCATAAAATCTGAGTGCAATTAGCAACTGGTACACTGGGGGAATTGGTAGTCCTCTTTTTGTAAGTTTCTCGAGATTGTGAGAAATTAGCGGCATAAGTACGTTTAATACTGTTTCTTTGCGAAATCTATATCGCTGTTTAAATTCCACTTCACTATAATATTCGAAAGGGTTCTGAAAATCTCTGATAACACGCCTTATTGTCACGCTTTCTTGGCGATTCACTTGTTCGTCCAAGTAATTATCAAATTCCTCATCACTACCACTCATTTTTATTTTAACTAGGTAGTACTAAAATACACAAAAGACAAACAATAGTTTATAAGTTTATATCATGGAGTATAGTTTATATATAAGTAATAACTTATGCTTTATTATTTTGAGGTTATGAATATGACATTTACGCCGACCCTATGCGTTCGTTAAAGTAGCTAATGGGTAACTTTAGCCAAGGGTGTCCCTAATTAGTTGCATAGTGTCGTCCAACACTCAAGTAACGTTTATGAAACAAAATTTCGTCCACTGTGGGTTAAAGCCTACTGTGCGTACGCATAGTATCGTTCTTGAATACGGGTGTTAAACTAATTATTTCATATTTAAGTAACAGAATGCAGAAAGTTATTATCAATGGTAAAAGTTCTTCCGGCTCACCTGTACTAATGGGTGTCCCTCAGGGCGCGATTCTCGGCCCATTCCTATTTCTAGTGTATATTAATGACTTACCTACTCTTATAGAGGATAATCATGATATAGTATTATTTGCTGATGATACTTCCTTGATTTTTAAACTTAAACGTCAATCATTTAAATGTGACGAAGTGAATAATGCTATATCAAAATTAGTGCATTGGTTTAACGTTAATAATCTACATTTAAACGGAAATAAAACTAAATGTATTAAATTTACAACAACGAATGTTAAAAATCTGAGTACCAATGTATTTTTAAATAGGGAAGAACTGAGCCCCGTTGAATCCACTGTTTTTCTTGGCATCACTCTCGACGCAAAGCTTTAGTGGGGCCCCCATATATCCAAACTAGCAAGCAGACTAAGTTCTGCAGCCTATGCTGTAAAAAAGATTAAAGGTCTCACTAGTGTCGAGACAGTTAGATTAGTTTATTTCAGTTATTTCCATAGCATAATGTCTTATGGGATTTTGCTATGGGGAAATGCGGCTGATTCAAAAACTATTTTTGTTTTACAGAAGAGGGCCATTAGAGCTATTTACAACCTAAAACCGAGATAGTCTCTTAGAGATAAATTTAAAGAAATTAATATATTAACTTTGGCCTCTCAGTTATATTTACGAAAATTTAATGTATGTTCACAAAAACAAAGGTAGTTTTAGTAAAAAAAGTGTTATACATTCTGTAAACACTAGGAACAAACACAAGCTAGTGATACCAGTTTCTCGACTCCACAGAGTCAGTAATTCATTCTTGGGGCAATGTATACGCTATTACAAGGTCCCGGAAAGTGTACAGGCTCTCTCTTTTAGCAAGTTTAAATGTTTTGTTAAGTTGAAACTGTATAAAAAGAGTTATTATAGTATAAATGAATACATGGTTGATAATAACCCCTGGGAATGAGGTGATCGCTTCCAAGCTGTTTCTAAAATAAATTTTGTACTTGTATAGTTTGTATAACCATTATTGTAAAATTTGCTTTAAAAAAAAAGTCCCGCTGGGTTTCTTGCTGGTTCTTCCCAGGACAGAGGTTTTTTTTTCGAACCAGTGGTAAAGTAAAAAATGACTTTCAATAAGAATTACACATGTGATCTATATTGAATAAAAATTATTCTATTCTATTCTATCCAGTACATGCTACTCACAACCTACTCTTGTGTACTTTGTTTTTAATTGGCAACAGTTATAACTTTTTTGCCAGTATCAAACTTTAGTTTGTTGTTGATTTGTCAATTAAGGCGGGCAAAGGTCTTAGACCATACAGCCTAATGTTATTCGTATTTAGTTAAGTCTATCTGGCTAGGTACTACCCTATTACCACATTCAGACTGGAACACATATTACCAGTATAATTACGGGATGCGAAACGTACCACCTTAATCCTCAGAACTGACAACGTATTTGTCGCCTAGCTTGTTTGAAGTTGGCTGCAGATCATTGAAGAACATTTTTTTTAATCCACAGCCACGTCTGTCCGTCACGCGTAACAGCAGCACCAGTTCGTTACACCGCGACAGCATCGACTACAACCACCAAAGTATGAACGTGGACAGCGACAGTCCCCTACCGCTGGTCATAAAACTCAGGTTAGTTTTATATCTCACCCGAGGGTCATTGGGCGAACTTAATCGCCTATTAAGTCTACAGTCCTCGATTTTATCGGTGTGAATAAGAATGTCCTCCAGACCGAATTTCGGTCACGGCATCCAGTCTTAATTGAGCCAGCCAGAACACAGGACAGTATTATAGTGCACGAGTGTATGCGGTGTGTGTGTGTGCACAATTGAACTCTCTATTCCCTTACTGTCATAGTTCCATGGGACGGAAATCCGATACGACTGAAGAGAGATCAGGTACAGGAACAACGGCTTTACGTGCTTTCTGAGGTACGGGGGTGAAACACCCCCAACTTGCTGACCCCAGGCTGCTACTAAGAATTACTCGACAGAAATACCCAATTACTCATTTTGCTCCGATCCTGATTTTGAATCCGCGGCTTCAGATCATCAACCGCATCAAGTCGATCTAAATAGACGAGGATAGTGTTAACGTGAAACTACGACACTACACAGAAACCTTATGCTATCATAATATGTAATGGGTGTGATTACGACACAGTCAATCTCAATGTAAGGGAATGTAGAAATTGCCCTAGTAATGCATGCTTTTTAGAGTATTCTTCGAATGTCCTTATTTCAGTTAAAACAGTTTTGGTGATGAACTATACATTAAGTCAGTTAAAAATGAACCTTGCTATCTTAACAGAAAAGTACAAAACAGCACATCTAGTGGTCCACCTGCGGAACACAAACGCTCCTTACAGAAGCAATTGAGTGTGGTGGGAGGGGAGAGGGCCCCATCACCTCCGCGCGTCACTCTTCACTCCATCATCACAGAGTACCTCTACAACCAGCACGCGCTTTGCAAAAACCCTGTTGTAACATGTCCGCAGTTCAATCTGTTCGAGTGAGTATACCTTATTTTATTATAATATCATGATTAATATGTGAAGAGATAAGTTTATAAGCCTTTTTAAGGATATTGCGCGCATGGATGTGTGAGATTTAGCATAGTGGAAGTTTATATGGAAAGAGAAATTTTTTTATAATACGTGTTATAAATACATTAAATTTAATTGAATACGTGCAGCGGGGCACTACCACTTAATTTTCTTTTTGAAGTCGAGTAAAAGTTTTAAAATAAATATGTATGATATGTTAGCAGAACCACTCTTGGATGCTACAAAATTTTTAAGTTTATATGGATTATGAAACACCAATAATTATTGTTCTAGTTCTTTTCAATAAGATTCTTTCAACTGCGTATCTATTACTGATTAGGATATTCGTTCGAGATAAAAGCACTTTAATAATTTAGTTGTTTAATTATAATTTTTAGTTGTTTGAGGTCGGCTTTTACAATTTTTTTACCCTTTTGGGGAAAATCTCAATCTCAATGTCGTTTAAATAGTTTCCTATTCTATTTTGGTACTAATAGGGCTGCATTTCTAAGGTGGTAATTTCTTTAGAGTCGTTGTGGTTTGAAACCCAATGAAACGAAAAAGCGTCACTAAAAGAGACAAACACATACATCTATAGGATTTAGCTTGCAAGAGAAGTAGACAATATTAATATTATTAAAAGTAATACAGTATACACTGTTTACTATTATCTCTATATTATCTGAATAAAGTAAGGAAAACGTTGATGATGATGTTTTTTCCTCGGGATCGAATTTCTTTGTGACCCGTCATCAAAGGTATCCTTAGTATTATCGTCTGTCTTCGTTTTCGGGAGCATTTCACAAACACCCGGTATAACGCTAAAATTTATTGAATAAATAAAATTAACCATATTGAATAAAATTATTGTTACGGCCTACGGCTGCTCCCATAAAGTTTCAATCCTCCGGGGCCCATCAGCGGAGTTTCAACGAACAGACGTAGGTCGGGCCTCAATATGGCCGCGTGGAATATCTCTAATTACAATAAACAATAAGGGGGAGCGTTCTATACTACTGCCATTCAACAGGGAGAATATTAAACCGAGCTTACTTACCTATATCCAAGGCGACTGGTCCCTCAGGATTCGGTCAGGTCGCATGTGGTTGTGTGGTGTAAGGGAAATCAGGTGCTGTGATGTGTATCTGGGTGTGACTGGTGGTGATTGACCTTATTAGACCTTTGCAGTCGGCAGCAGCCCGGACGTCAGCACCGCTCCAAATTGAGGTAATCTTCCGCGGCGCCGTCCACAGTCACTTTCTTTGTTCGTCACGATGACAGTCCATTAACTCTATCGTACGATTAACTAACTTAAAGAAGCCACTAACTCTCGTTTGTTATAAAGCTTAACACACAAAACGAACACGGAGTGTCGGTCTATATGAGATCCTGTTATTATAAGCAAAAACGTAACACCGTCCGAATACGAATGTCCGGATCAAAGGTCACTACCGCTTCGCGTGGCAACCGTTATTTCTAGAATACCAAATGCCGCACTAGCTAATATTGTCGAATGCACTTATACAGATTCTGAGTCAGACACAATGAGACCCGGGAAAGGCTATCAAACAAGGAATGCGCGTTACAAATCCTAGACAGTATATTTACTAGACGCGTAAACTATTCCGCGTTCCCGCACAAAATTGACAGCGTGCTGACGTTAGCACAGCTTGCAGACGACTCCCATTTGCGCTTGCGCGCTCTCGCCACACCCAAGCTAGCCCGAACGTCAAACCGGTATGGCCGAGCCGCGCGCCCTCTGACGTCAATCCCGAAATCAGCGTTCGGGCGGGGTTAAACAATTATTATATTATCCAATTCATTTATAATAATTTACAATTTCATAACTTTCCGATTTATATAAAATTAGACGTGTTTTTTTTTATTTATTAGGCGTCTATTTTACGTATCACCTTGTGAGTTAATTAATTATTATTTTTGGAAAAATGACTACCTATATAGTGAAGTTGATGGCGTTATTATAAAGCAATTTTACTAATGTAATATAGGTATCTCTATGTAGAATAAAATTAAAATAATTTTTGAACTTGAACTTTTAACAATGTTATAATAAATAAATTCTATAATAATCTTACCCATGTTACCCTGTATTCGTTTTATTCTCCCAAAGTTTAGTTTTCTGAAGGTTCTACGGCGTGTGAACTGCACGCATTATTTTTCTTCTCAAAATTTATATGGGACCACCCTTAGAGTATACTTCAGGGTGATATATTTAATAAAAAAGAATCATTATCATCGGTTATATAAATAACTAACTTTTTACCCGCGGCTTCGCTCGCGTGGTCTTCTTTTTTAGAAACATCATTAAATGTATTCCACGCCAAATTTAGTAAAGTTCGATCACTTTTAGAGTCAAGTCGGTGTCTGTGTATCTATGTCAGTTTTTCAAAGAATTTTTTGAATTTCCAAAGACTATTGGATCTAGATGATTGAGGGACACGTGCAGAAATAAGTTTTTCAGAATTGCATTAATATCATATTGTTACGGATCGCCGTAACGCCGTTCGAAAAATGAATGAAACGCGGTGGTCTTGCTTAAACTGGAGGCAAGCGGCGGTGAGGAGGAACTTTTTCTTTTCTTGCTGCTGTTTTCTTTTCTGTAGCTGGAGAGCGACTGCCGACTGTTCCGGCCGGCCCGTCTTATATACGATCTGGCCGTTGCTGGCCAGCGGACCCTTGCCTCACCCCCGCACCTTTCTTTATTCTGTAGATTTCTTAAAAACTAATGTACAGACTTAAATATATTACATTCTTACAACTACTTATTAAACTAATACTTATATAACAATTTTTCTATATAGTAAAGGTTAAAACGTCGTTATTCCAGCAATTTTGAGCTGAGGACCCTGCCCCCCGCCTCAGTACTATAAATATGAAACGTCGTGGCGCGGCGCGCGTAGCCTCATTCGCTCCGCGGCCGCGTCACGGTAACATTATGTTTATTATTTATCGTGCCTAAGGGCTTAATATATATGAAATTAAATTGCACTATACAAGGGAATATACTTTACATACAATACTTATTCTACAATTTGGCATTAATTAATTTCTATATTCTAAATCTATGTTAACTCTCGCCATTTGTTCGGTGCCTTTATTGCGAGAGTTATTGCATAGTTACAATATTATTTATTTAACAATAAAAGCTATATTTCTCAATATTATTGCTACGGCTTTTCCCGCGTTGCTGTGGGCAACCACCGCTAGTTGTGGAACCGTGAGCGCGCCCCGACGATCATAACATTCTCATGGCTCCGCCCACCGCCCCTAGGTTGTTCAACTAGCGATGGTTACCACAAGCAATCCGTAAGTCATTTCGTTCGAGGTATTACTATGTTTGCGTCGTGCACATTCTCCCGCCGTCGCCACGCTGCGATCCCTCTGGTAGCACGACGATCTTCTTTGTCGGTCTTCGTAGTACATGCCCCGTGCTTGTGGTTACGTCCACTACTCGTACCTCTCCGTCGACGCCAGGATATACGTTGCTGATTTTCCCCCTGGGCCAGATGTTGCGTGGTAGATTGGAGTCACAAATGATGACTAGGTCTCCAATCTTCGGTGATACGCCTATGCTGCTGGGCTCCCGCCGGTGTTGGAGTAGGGGCAGGTATTCCTTTACCCACCTTCTCCAAAACACGTCGGCCAGGGCTTGAGCTCGTTTCCACTGCTGGCGGGCCGTCACGTCGCTCTCGCTGAAGTGTCCCGGCGCAGGTACGTGCGAGTTGGGACCGATGATGATGTGATTCGGCGTGATGGCTTCTGGGTCTCCAGGGTCGACTGAGACGTGTGTGAGAGGTCTTGAGTTGACCGTGTTTTCGACCTCGGCGAGCAGGGTCACCAGTGTCTCGTCACTGGGATAGCGCTCGTTGAGGGTGACGCGTAGAGCTTCTTTCACGGAGCGAACCATTCGTTCCCATGCGCCGCCTATGAACGGTGCTGATGGTGGTATGTATTTCCACACAATTTGTCGACATGTGGTTTCGTGCTCGAGGGCTGCGAGTGCTGCTTCGGCCAGCTCCTTGTCTGCTGCCTTGAAGCACGTAGCGTTGTCACTCCATATTTCCTTTGGGCATCCTCTTCTGCTCATAAAACGCCTGAGCGCCGACACGGCTGAGTCGGCGCTTAACGAGTGGGCTACCTCTATGTGTATTGCTCGTGATGTCATGCAGGTAAATAACGCGCCATAGCGCTTTTCACGATGTCGTCCCACTGTGACCTCTATTGGCCCGAAGTAGTCCAGTCCGGTGTATGTGAACGGACTTGCGTGATGAGCGAGGCGTGCGGACGGCAGGTTTCCTGTAGATGGTGATGCAGGCTTGGCTTTTCTTAGACGGCACGGTAGGCAGCTTTTGACGACAGTTTTTACCACTGGACGTATTTTTCTTATGTACAGTCTCTGTCTTAATTCGTTCACGACTGTTTCCACGCCTCCGTGATGCAACCTCTCGTGTACGTGTGTTATGTACAGGCGAGTGTATGCGTGCTTCCCGTCTAGTATGGGAGGGTCGTACGTGTCCTCTTCCACTTCTGATGCTGCTTTTATTCGACCTCTGAGGCGTAGGGTCCCCTCTTCATCGACTTATGGGCTCAGGTGGCCTAATTTGTCGTCACCTCCCGGAACACTTCCGTTGGCGATCCTCTTGAGCTCCTTCGTGAAGCTTTCCCGCTGACTGGCTTGCACCCACAGTTGTTCGGCTCTTACGTGATAAGCGGCCGGTATTCCTGCAAGCGATGAGACAGTAGGAGTTGCCTTTTTCTCCTTGGCTGGGGTGTTGCGTTTGTTTGTTCTTCGCCAGCCAGGGTCGCTATCTTGTCTTGCTCGGTTGCGTTTACGCCCAGCCTTCACCACGTGTTTGTTTGGTCTGCACATGTCGATGAATAGGAGGACTCTCGCTGTCGCCCTTATGAGGCGAATCCATTTCGAAAATCTTTCTATTTGTGGCAG